CCCACCCCCACCCCCGACCAGCGCAGCCCGGAGCAGTCAAGCAGCCTCGGCCTTCCACCAGCTCCCGCCCGCCCCAGCCAACCGGGTCACAGGCCCGACGAGTCCGAGCTAGACCTGACCCCTCCTTGCCCAGCCCTGGCCGCACTCACCACGGCTCACCCTCTGTTTGGCCCCCGACAGGATGCCCGGGGTGTCGATGATACTGATGCTCTCGAGGACCTGATTGGGGAGCTGGGCACACATGAACCTGGGGGCAGAGGGAAGGGCAGGGGTCAGTGCGGGGAAGGGCAGAAGGACAGGAAACATAAGAAGGGAAATCGGGACTGCACAGGGGAGAACCAGGTACAGAGGAGGGAAGGCTCTGGAAGGAGAAATGGCAGATCAGGACAGAGAATTACATCTAAAAAATAGTAGCTAATGTTCACTGAGCACCTACTTTGTGTCGGTGCTGTTCTAAGTCCTCATAAGCACCTTATAGAGTGGAGACTGTGGTTAGCCCCATTTTCCAGATGAGGATAAGAGAGGCATGGAGAGGTTAAGTCATTTGCCCGAGGCCACCCAGCTAGCCAGTGGCAGGGCCAGGATGTGAAGCCAGGCAGGTGGCTTTACTAGCTTCACTGCTCCCCTAGAGAGGAGAGGGGGGGCAGAGGCAGGAACGAGAAGAATCAGGTAGAGACAAGCGAATTGGGGCTGAGAAGGGGAGAACTGGGGCAGAGATGGGACAGAGATGGGGCCCGGGGACGGGAAGATGCGGCCCTGGCCCGCGGCTGCCGCACCTGTTGAGGAAGGTGTTCCCGAAGGGGTTGAGCTTGCGGAAGGGCTTGTCTGGGTCAACAACGAGGGCGTTGCCAGGCACGGTGCCCTCAGCGTCGCCGTGCATGACAGCCACGAAGCAGTCGGTGGTGGGCTCGGGCCCCACGCGGGAGCCGGGCACCTCCTGCTCCAGCAGGTACTGGATGAAGCTGGTCTTGCCCGTGCTGTACTGGCCGGCCACCAGCACCATGGGCTTGCCGTCGAAGTCGGCGTCCTCCAGGGCCGGCGAGTGGAAGGCCCCGAAGCGGTAGTGCTCCTCCAGCGGCAGCAGCTTCGTGCGGTACAGCTCCTTGAGCGCCGAGGTCACCGTGCGGATGGCCTCGGGCTGCTGGCCCCGCGCCCCGCCCCGCTTCAACCAGCTGAACATGGTGGCTGCGTGCTGCCTGCTGGGGTCGCAGAGGGAGACGTGCAGGGGGAGGGCTGCCTGTGGCGCGGGGAGAGGGCGTTGACGGTGGCCTGCCCGGCGGAGGAAGGGGGACCGAAGGTACAATGTCCAGGTGGAGGAGGAGGTGCAGGGAGCGCCGATGGCCGGTGGCAAGAGGAAGAGGGGGGATGGTGCCAAGCCAGCTGCAGGAAGAGAAAGATTAATAGTGCTATGGGCGAAGGAGGGGAATTGATGGTGGAAGACCAAGGGATGCACAAAGGGAAGGAGGCAGAAGCTGTGTGGAAGAAACGTATTCCTCGATCCCTTCATTCTTCTCTTCCTCCCTTCTCCCTTCCATCATTTAGACACTTTTTTTTTTTTTTTTAGAGACGGGGTCTCGCTCTTGCTCAGGCTGGTCTCGAACTCCTGACCTCAAGCAATCCTCCCGCCTCGGCCTCCCAGAGTGCCAGGATGACAGGCGTGAGCCACGGCGCCCGGCCAAGGGCATGATAAACTGACTCGAGTCAGCGGGGCTCTATGACCGCTCCGTGAAGGACAGGACAGACCAGGGGATCCAGGCAGCGAGGAGGGCGCTGCCTGAGGGACAGCAGGTGTGAGAGGCCCTTGGGTGCTGGGAGCTGCGACATGTCCGGGCGGGTGGCTGGACACGGGAGCTCGAGGAGGAGGGATGAGAAATGGGGCTGAGGAGGTTGTCGGGGTGCACCCAGGCCACGAGGGGCCTTGGGCGTTAACGAGAATAATTCGACATTTATGATCGCTGCACGCCAGACACCGTTCTAGGTCATTTCATCTCATAACCCCGTCGGGTAGGTCTGTCACGAGCCCCGCTTTTCTGACAAGGAAACGCAGGCTCAGGAAGATAGCAATGACTTGCCCAAGATCACTGAGCTACAAAACGCTCGAGCTGGGACTTGAATCCAGGCAGGCTGTGCTCAGAGCTTGTGCTCCTATCACAGGGCTAAGGGACCGAGTTAGGGAGCGAAAGGACAGCCAACCCAGCAGCCGCGAGCACGCCCAGCACCCAGACCGTGTCCTCCGCGATCTCTTCCATCCTGATTGACTGTGGGGTCTGTAGTGATGCCCCCTCTGTCATTGCCGACATCCGGAATAGATGTCTTTGCTCTTTTGAAAAAAAAAATCTTCAT